TTGGAACAAAAACCGATGCTATTGCAGAAAATAAAGTAGTTGTGGACTTACAGAACCTTCTTCCAACCACCTTACTTACATTTGGGCAGAGGCACTTCCAGGCAATGGTAATATTGTGACTCTTTATTTAGAATTAACGTTGATTTAGCGACGACAAACTTTGGGGATCTTTCTAAGGTGCCGTGTACTTATAAGCGAACCGAAATACCCGTGCATCTTAAGGAAAGGCTCGACTTTTTCTATAAGAAATTAATCACTACCCATCTCCCAAGTACTGCAGAAAACGTAGATTTTCGGTGATGGAAACTTTTAAAGCAAGACGGCTTTTCTTCTCCTATAATGCCAAACGCCATTCATTACTTATAAATCCGTTTTAAACGTTTTTCAGAGGTCGATGGAATTTACGTTAACATTTCAGCGTACTGAATAGTTGTGACGAGAATACATATGTTATATATACATTAAAATGCCGTAACACGGAAGATCTATTCTTATACTTACCGATACTGATGGATTATGCCGATAATATGTTGGTTCTAACTTAAATGAATTATTTGTCATCGACAGTGGGAGCTGACAGGTGCGTCGTTGCCATTTTAATGTCCTAAATGAGATTGTAATTGTCACGTGCTGAAAATCGTACCCCTATACACACATTTATTGAATTTAACTTATCTTACAGCTGTTTCGTTCTTCTAGAGCTAGTCAGTGATTTTAAGATTTCAAAAAAATCAAAACTACTCGAAAAAAGGTAAAAATATAGAAGGGGATGTGCACATGTCCATTATTTCAACATTTCGTAATTTTCATATTAATGATAATCCACTCACCTCCCGTAGAGAGTGTGGCCGTCCTTCAGTGACCCCTGTAACAGTTGAGAGTAGTATAATCGATATAAAACCAATGCCAATTGATTCAGCATCGTGGTAACATAACGACTGGTTTGCCCTTTTACAGTGTAATGTAACAGGTGGGGTTGCATTGCTTTGGCGGTGTACTTCATGTGAGGTAAAACTGTAAAAAAAAAAGTACCACACTTTACACGAAGATATCACGGCTCTCGAAAACGCGCACGCAACACATGCACATACATCGCATACACAGGGGTCATCCTTAAATGACGATATAACTTTTATTGGAACGTTGAGCGACATAAAACCATTAATACTATCAACATTGTGGTAATGTAAGGTTCTCTATAATATGACCGTGGCGAGTGTACTGCTGGATACTTCAATGTGATAACACTAAAGTTGAGGAGGCAGACAACCGATATATCGCAACCTCCTCAAAACATGGTAACTTATGCACTCATCCATATTCCTAAGGAGTCCGTCCTTAAATGAACATAGAAGATGAGAAGACAATAAACGATATTGAAACCTAATCAAACTAATTCAATTTTACGTCTCACAGATGCCTCGGAAGAAAAAAAATAATGCTCCTACTTTAACGTTTTTTACTTGGTGACACAATGAACACTGTTAACTGCATACAATTGCCTTCCGTAATACACACCATGGCCGCATCCCGATCAGTATGTCTTTTTACCCAGCACCTAATGCGACGTATGTCTACGCTTGTGTGAGAAATTGGCTTCGATATATCTTAAGTCGTCTGCTTGTGATAGACAGCCGCCTAAAAAGGTAGGCACGTGTATGACTACTTTGTCCGCAAAAGGAATACGCGAAATAGAGTACTGACTATACAAAAAAATACAGAAAAACAGATCTCATTTAAATGTACTGAATATTATCATTTTTCTTTTATTGAGATATGCAGTTGGAGGTGTTTGATTCTCTTGTAGATCAGTGTTTTTTTTTTTTTTTTTTTTTTCTTCATTTTTTTGTACTAGTTTTATTGAATTTGAGTTAAGAATTTCCTGGGTTTTTCAAACCAGCAACTTGTACTCTTGTAGGTAGATATATAGATAGATATGTACCTGCTGTCCCCAGTGTGTATTGGTAAAGAGTGGCATACCTTTGGAACTTCAGAGCACAATGACACAATCTCTTTGTGTTTCACTTAAATGTAGACACACGGGGCTCTCTAGTACTATTCTGCTAGCTTGAGACATTTGGATCCCTTCCGGGTTGTCAAGCGTAATTAACTGAGATGTTGATAATTGTACACGTGGGGTTTTGTAATGTCTTACCACAATGCATCAGGAGTATTGATTTCTTGTTCTATTTAGTTTCTTGTGTCGGATTTTTACATACATACGTAATATATATAATGTTATATATTAAATTAGTATGTTATATGGATCTAATTTCTTATTTGCAGCGATGTCTTATTCAATTAGTAAAAATCTTGAGGAGCTTGAGGAGGTAAAAAAAACCATATTTATCTATATAAAGGATTATGTTGTTCCCTTAGCCAGCTTCGTCTCTCTGTTTACACTACAGAAAACGCAGTTGTACAACAATTATTTAGAACAATACATATAACCTTTAAGGTAATGTTTATTTACTTATAACAGTCACTTATTATTCCTACTCGTCATCAATAGATTGTTTTATCTGAACATTTTAGAATTACTTTTTCATGGTTTAAACAGATTACGCTGTCTCTTTGGAAGCTGATTGATTCTGTGTAAGTTGTATGTTTTCTTCAGTATAAAACATTTGATAAATTAGACCAATCTCTTGAGAGGTTATGACTTAATATCATTTTTTCTATAAAAAAAAAATGTTGAACACATCTGGAACTCTAGTTTTCTATTAACCGGGTGTTCACGCAGACCGATCACATCAGTCGTTTTCAACACTCATTTCTGGCTTTGTTTCATTCCACCACCTTGCTCCATTATACACACATATAACCCTAGGGTTAAATCTTACAATATATTACTATATAACATATGGTGATTCTGTCCAGTTTCAAATATATTCCTGAATTAGATCTAAATCTGCTGAAAACGCTGTATACTGACATCATTCACTCTATGTAGAGTAAATCATCAGAATTCACACCATGACTTGTTACTAACATTTCCTAAACTGGCCTTGTCCGCAGACTGGTGTACCCATACCGGTTTTAATCGCACCTTAGCCATTCCGAATCCTTGCTATTCTTTAACACCACCCCTGGTTAAATTACGTCTGCAAAATTGTTCGAAGCCAACAAGTTCTCTCCAGGCATTTGCAGTAGTATTATCTTGGCTTCTATGTCGACAACATACCGATCGATGCTAAACTATTAGAGCAACTAGCTTTACAAGGCCAATTGGACCTTTTTAGAAAAGACTTTTACAGGATTCTAGACATCAGACAATCGGATTTTTACCGTTATCTGTCCTACTACTACATTCTTGATAGGGTTGCAGCACCCATTCTATACATTCCTAAAGGTGTGGCAATATAATTATTCCTCATACGAGTGTGTTAAACTTCCTTTTGTCTGTCTACCGTCTCTTCCTTTCGTTTCTTCCTGAAGGCGTCCTTGATATTGCCGAAGGTTGGGATTTGAGTTCCAGCGTTTACCACAATGAGGACGAAAATAAGTCATATCCTCAAGACATGACTTATATGCACTTAAGCTATACTTGATGATCCCTATAAAACGTCACGCGCACGGGTGAATGACTCATTTACGAAAACATATCACACCCACCACGAAATCAGTATCATTAACTGGAAGATATTTCATTTCAATATTGCTGTTGGGAATAATATCAATTCCAAATGCTCTTTAAGTAAGCGTCTCTTGCAGCCGACAACGATCTTATTGTGTTGATAGTCTTTCATTACCTGCAGTAGTCACCATGTGGGACTTTGACACTCAGTCACCATTGTTTCTAATGTGACATTACAAGGACATATTCATTGTAACATCGAAAGTTGATAGGTCTGGAATTATACGTTTATAATTATACTTTTTTTATAATTTTAAATCAGTCAGAGGAAAACTAAGACTTGAAAAGACTTTATTTCATTAAAATTCAATATGGTTATATTTGAATATTGTAAATGTACTGGAACTGTGGGAATATGCTTGTTAAGTGCTTATGTATTTCATAGGTAACTTGTTATACGAAAATATAATTATAGGGTTGTAAGTGACTTGTGAATTGGTGGTGTCTGTCTAGAGTTCAAGGTTAGGATGGAAATTCCAGTTGTTTAATCCTATTGTCTGTCCCCTCTCATGTTAAGAGTATTTGTTTGCTGGTTTTATCGTTCTGGAAATAACCTCAATGAACAAAACACGGCAGGCCCGTCGCACGCAGTTCGAGTAATTAGGGCAAAGTGTCACAACCAGGTAAGGACGGACGTGTTCGATAGTCTATCTCATGAGAAACCCAAACCGTCACGTGAATGGAGCATCGGACCGCGCAACAAACATCTTTACACGAGGTTACGTAGACTAACGTTGTAACCAACTGAGCTAAACTCCCCTCTAGTAAACTAGTATGACAGAGCTGCGTATGTTTCGGTTAAACAGTACAACAGTTTTAGCCCAATATACATGACCATAATCAAATCAACAGCCTTATTATAGACTGAAATAAATAACCATCGGAAAAAAGGTTTTTTCCCCGTTTTTTTTTTATCGGCAGATTATTGTTTCGAATTTCCATGAAATGTATTGTGTTTTTATCAACGTTTATAGGCAAACTGAAATCCAATGCAATTAATGCGTAATTTCCACGACGATTTCGTTTTTTGTTTTAGTATATAGTTACTCTTCATTACATATTTAAAGAATATCAGTCACCAATCTTTGGATTAACGTTGTTGTGATATGCCAGAGAATTATGTAGGATTTCCAAGTCGATCATTAACCAGCACTTGCAATCATTAATCCTAACGCAGCACTTACTTACAAGGCAGTGTACAGAATCCGCCCACAGAAGACCGGTCAGTCATATTTCCCGAGAGGCGTGGCTTCTATGGTCACGTGCTTCTAGGTTACTTTGATTGACAAAAGATGCTGACAGGGATTGAGCGGGTATATTAAGGAGCTGATCCTATTATCCAGTATTGTGGAACTTTCGAGTTGGCAAGTGACATTTGATTCAGAATGACACAACTAGCTAGCTTCGTTGTGGTGTTAGCTGCAGTACCTTTGGCATGGGGTCAACACAGGTAAGTGAAAACTACATTATCTACCTCTAAGACAAAACTCATTAACTTGTATACCAGTTTCTCTTCATCATTGCTGTCTTTGGTAACTTTAGTCTGGTAATTTCTCACGTTAACATCATTTATTTAGCGCAGTTGGTCCCTATGGAGATTATCAGCGATATTTAAAAACCTTATAGACATATTTCTGTTTTTTCCCCATTACATAATTCCCAATAGTGAACACTTTCTGAATAGTCGTCTTGGCCTCGGTGTTTAAGAACATAGTTCCTAGTTGCATAGGAATGTTAAAGAAGTCTTCATCTAGTCAAGGTGTTTTACCGTGTTAGACATTACTGACGCCTGTCTGGTTCTAGTCTACAATTCATTGAATACAACAATGTAGCACAATAATCCAGCATTTCACACGATTGCATTTTGCCAAAAAACACGTATTTATGTGAGTATGAAGCTCCCTGCAGCCTGTACAAAACGTTTCCCTTTAGACTCAGCTTTGACGATAACAATTTTCTCGGATGATAACTCTAAATCTTCAGCGTTTGTAAAAACATTTTGCGAGCCTTTAAGAACATTGGAGTGCATTTATTCAGGAAGCTAAAGTTTTATGAGTGTGCAAAAAATTCCGGCAAAGTTTTCCTCTGTGTATTATGTTATTGTATTATGTGTTTCTCTTATATAACAGAGACTTGTTTGCTAGCTGAAATGTTTACAAAAGTCTTAGATTTATTACATTATCACCGATATCATACATTAGCATCAGTCCCTTTATAAGGATTATCTCTGTATAATATACTGTTTCTGAGAAACATGAAAATTCGAGTAAGTAGGGGAAATATACTGACTATGGCCGTGATTTCATGCTTTCTCCAATACTCTTGGCATCCTTTAGATGGCATTAACAGGTTCCCTCTAGTCACGGTAACGATGAACGAAATCTTATTTTCAAGTAATTCTTAGTCGATTCACGGTTCTTAAATCAATTTGCAAAAGTTTTCATTTATTTACGATTGAGGTATGCAGCAAGTGAACACCTCTTCGTGTTATATTCTATATATATCATCCTTACAATTAACACTGTGCTGGTTAACCTGGTAGTTAAAACGCAACTTTATCAATTCTCTGTCATGATTTTCCTACCACACCTCACCTGTTATGTGGAAATTGATGCGATATTCTATAATTCGCGCCTGATATCACGATCCTTATCATATATATCAACAGCTGACGATAAAAAACTTATATCACAGAATTGGACAGATGCATGTTGATAATAGCTAAATAACATTTAGAAACATGATACTTCCGTATGCGATGTGATAGTTGCTGTGTTCGCTGATCGTTGGAATGTCAGTCGGTTTCCTTCTCTGTAACCTGGTTTGTGAGATTGTGATATTTATTAAGTGGACGACAAACGTATGGCGATGTTATACTCATCTTGTACCTCATCAAACATAACCATGTTTGTTCTCTCGTGTTGATATATTGATCTTTTCTACCAGAACAGATCTCATTTCAATCCATACAGCTTTAGGTTATATTTTCGTTTATCTTTGCGAAACCTTGTAACAATCGGTCCCGTAAGTGGGCGTGGCTCGTTTAGCGTTAGCCCTTTAAGCCGCTACAACCTTATTTGACAGCTGTGTGATATCTTGTAGTATTTATATTTGGATGTAATCAGTGCAGTATATTACTAAGAGATTATTCTTATCGACTTGACCTATACGTCGAAACAAGACTGTTCAAAACACCAAGATGACCCGGAACTGTTCTTATCGTCAATTATTTCAATTTTAGATATACAATAAAAGTGTTGTGTACAGCGAGTTAACGTCGATAGGTTTCATTACGGCATATTCCACGCCTTCTACCACCCTCACTAGTGTCACTTTACACCCTTAACTTAGGGTTAACAAAATCTAGTATCAAACAGTAAATATAGTATATTCAATATTGTATGATATTCTTGACTGTTTAAGAAAAATCCTAAAAACCAGATGAGCTTGGCTAATCCAAATATTAAATAAAAATAATAATTTTCAATATTGAATTGTTGCCTCCTTCTGTGACTTTTCAGCAATGTCAAATGCTTACATTGCTAATAACTAGATGATGAGCTTGACAAACGCAAATATCAAATAAAATTAATTATTTTCAAAGTTTGGTTGTTTCAAAAGAACATAGATGAACTATATCATGACATGCACACTTCAGTAATCTAGGGGCTGTAGTCCACCAGCATTGTCTACTACTTACAATCTCAAAGGTGTATTTTTCAACACAAGTCTGTAATTAAATGAGTAGCGACTGAATCCAGGACAGCATAACTGTGTTTCTCTGTCAGCTAAGATGTGACTACTAAGATCATAAAGCTTTAAAGGAGATGTGAAATTTTTATGTTGTGTGTGTGAAAATCCATTAAGTCATCAGTGAGACAATCAATCTGGCCGATTACAGTTTAATTATGAATATCAATTGTTATGTTGAGAAACAAACGAGTAACTCAGGATAAAAGGTAATTAACACGGGTGCATGTAACAGGTTCGCCAGTAACGTTGTTAATCCAGAGAAATCGAGTGTTAAAACTATGATGAGATAACATTTATAAAGCCTTTTCTGTTTGGCTGTTTGAAACTTTCTCTCAAAACTTAATAAACGTTCCAATTGTAATATATCTCGTTGTTTTGAAAAGTTCAGGTTTAATTAAGCCGCGATCAAATAAGTCATATCTGTCGGATCAATGTCATTCAAGGACAATAGCTGTTTAATGAAAATAATAAGAAAGCAGATGACGCAGACTCTTCAGGATTACCTGGGTTTATTCTCCTTGTACCTTTTGATGATTCCTCGAGTTCATATGTTGCTGTAGTTTTATAGTATTTGCGTTCGGATTATAATTATGTTGACATGTTGGTATTTTCTCTCGCTTAATTTTGTCTGTTTCTGAATTTGCATTGATACATATCATTTTATTTATATTTTGAGATATTTGTGCCGTTCGTACCGCCCAAAAGTGATTTGCCCTGTTTTTTCAATGTTGTTATTTAGTTTTAAAGAAATTTTGATTTACTCGGGCCATTCAAAATATGAAAAACGAAACACATTTGAAACCAAACAATGCACACTGCCTCAAATTTTAATTTTATATAATTTAGAGTTTTGCGTTGATAAACGCGTGTCAGCATATGTTACCATTTACGAATATTTTGATGTAATTAATGTTGAAATATAGATACAATGATTTACAGTTCAATTGGAACGTTTCTTTAACTTTAAGGGAGTATTACAGACAGACAAACAGAAAGGCTTTATTTGACCATACTATCATAATACCGTACTCTAATTGTGTGTTATTTTACAAATACCTGTTTAACCTAACTATTACCGTCATGCTGTTCATTAATATGGGTGTTTTTTGCTACATTAAAATCATGTAGAGTGTAATGAACAATGACGCTAGATATCTTGTCGTAAAACCAACAATTCGTGTGACATGTAGTTAATTGGTGTAGCACGCCATCCTCTCTATCTCATTGATCGGTCTCACCCCCGAGGACAACATAGACTCACTGTTGTTGATATCACAGGCAATCTTAATAAACACGCTAGTTTTGTAATTGCTATGGTTTCAAATATTTCAGGATATAAGTATTTGCAAGGCTTTGGTTTTTCTCCGGCCAAATACTAAGATTTGTACAATTTGATAAATAACGGAAAAGTGTTTCGAAAGGCGAAGTTTTCACTCATCATGCTATATCCTTTCTTTTATTTTGTGGTACAATGCATGTTGTTTTAAATGCACTAGATTAATTTTTGTTATCTGCCATAGAAGTGCATCTTAAAGTCAGTATTTGCCCCTTAAAGTCCGCGAACGTGTCATTATTTTGTGTTCGATACTGAATATTTCACGCGTTAACGCGTAACTTCTAATTACTCTTGTCGATCCGAAACGAAACGACATTCGACATTAATCAATTAAGTATGTATTCCTTTACTTCAAAGCAAAGTCAAACCTGCTGACAAAGGTCACTTAAGGGAGTAAAACAGTGGCGTTTATAGGCAGGTTGCGTTTGTGCAGAGCTTTAAATACTATGAATACATCAGAACCTGGATCCAGTGGCCTTTATAGACAGTTAGTTTTACCTACAGGTGTCCTACATGGCAGGCTTGAAGAATGTATATTGAATAACATGGACACCCCATGTCTAGTTTATTCCTTACGGTCCTAAGGAACAAATGTCTTTCTATTGTATCCAAAGTAAATCCTACATTTTATTTATGTTCTGAATATACATACCGATTTATAGTTGATCGACTCTCTAGTGAAAAGGCCACGAACAAACGAGCGTAGTTAGAATTCTTCAACAAATACATTACAGCTGAATGAGAATTGGATGTAGCATTGGACTTAATGGTTCCATTCAAACTTTATATTAAGCGAAACGTATGAAATATTGATGTGGCGTACAATTATATTCTAGTTGGGTACGATTTACTTACAATAGATAACACCATTTGACATTCAAGACATTTCATCGTTATCTCAACATGGCCTTTATTTGGCCTTGTTCCTCCTAGAAATATTATTTATGTTTAAGAAATATTGGTTATATTGCTTTTTTCATGTGCATTGTCGTTCGCTTTACCATTGAATAATTATTTCTTTTTAATGTACGGATTACCGACAGACGTAGGCACGTCCGCTGTACTCTACTGATGCTAAAAACAATATGAAATAAACGTTTGATAAAAATTGATCTACTTTTACAAAAGCGATTTATGTAAATCCTGGCACAAACACAAACCTGGGTGTTTATATTGATATCTATCATGACAATCAAAAACAAATTTGAAAACAAATTTGAAATCTCATTCAGTGTTTATATTGATGTTTTTGCAAATAGAAAAGAACATTAAATTTAACACACGTCATTTCAGATTTAAAAAGAAACTAATCTTTGCTCGTTCGTTTAAGTTAATGCGTCACATACAAGGTGATTCAAAAG